TGACACGGCTCACAGGGAACGGTAAAAAATGTTCACTTTATCGAGGAAATACAAAATTCGTGATGACACGGCACACAGGGACCGGGAAAAAATGATCACTTTATCGAGAGATTCACGACCATGATTTTATTCAACTTATCGAGTATTTATCAAGGGACCGGGAAAATATGTTCACTTGATAAAACGATGATTTTGTAATGTAGAAAATTATGAAAGACAAATTTCAGGATGACACGGCACACAGGGACCGGGAAAAATGTTCACTTTATCGAGAGATTCACATTTACGAGTTTCAAATTATCAAAATATATCTCTTTTTTTTATAAGTTTATAGAGAATTGTTTTAACAAATGTTCGTTAGACAAACCTTTACTCGGGTAAAACCTCGGGCGAAGCCGGGTACGTCCGCTAGTATATCTATATATATAAAAATGAATGTTTGTCTGTCTGTCTGTTGGTATGTCCGGTATACAAATTCGCAGTAGTTCACTAATTCAAACCAAAATTTCCATACATAGGTAAAAAATAACGGGTATGACGATAGGCTATTTTAAAAAATATATAAATCAATTATTAAAACTATATATTCAAATTATTCTACTTAGCTCACGAGCAGCGCCCTCTAGAACGCGTGGCGCTCTGACGGCGGGGGGGCGCCCATTGGCTGCCGGCGAGCACGTGAATTCCCTGCCACCGGGCGCCCCCCCCCCCCCTCCGATAAAATGGAATCGTCCGGCTGCCGGCCGGTTAGCCAGTTCAAGTTCCCACCGCGCGCGGTCCTGGCGTTGGTGACACAGCTGTGCCAAGTGCCAAAAAAGCCTCGCGGGTGACTTCCGGGAACTACGTCCATCTTCCATATGTAATATACCTTTATTCGTGTAAACCCGGGCGTTGCCCGGGTCATTCGTCTAGTTACTAATAATTGTATATAGTTGCGGAATTACTGGTTTCCTGTGCTGCTCTTTTCCTGTTATTACACCTTGTACGGAGAATCTGTATAAGACTAATGTCTTAATAAAGGCTTTGTGTGTGTGTGTGTGAATAGTCGTTATTTCTCCTTAAATAATTGAAATTACGGTTTTTCTTTCTATAAAAAATAAACATTTACGGTAAAACTTGTTGAACGTCATTCTATTATCATAACCGCATTACATTGTATTATAGTAAATTATTGTTGGAAGAGAATAGAATTGAGAAACTCGTTGCGTTTACCTTTGGTATCTTCCAACAATGATATCCTGCGATTCTATTGTAATAGTGAACTATACAAAATTGGGAAATTTAATAAACATTATCGTGGTTTTCTTGCCTTTAATATGAAATTAAGTATATTTTGTATATTTTAAGATATTGTGTAATCGAAACTACTTCATTAATAATTTCCAGAAATGCCTCTATATTCTGTTAAAATTGCATCCCTATGAGTTAAATATTGTGGAGGCATATACTGTATATATACCGAATGTCTCTTTATTATGTTATGAGAAAGGTATATAGTGTACTGGACGGGTGGCTTCGCCCCGGGATTGACTCGTGTGCATATCTACCCGAGTGATATATATTTAGATAAGATTTTTTAAAATATAATTGTTTGTTATTAGCATTATCTATTTGTTTGCATCAGCATAATTTAATCTAAATTGTACTGGAATAAAAATATCCACTCTTATAGAGGGCGCTGTTCGTGAGCTAAGTAGAATAATTTGAATATATAGTTTTAATAATTGATTTATATATATTTTTTAAAAATAGCTTATCGTCTTCCCTGTATTTCTTTACCTATGTATGGAAATTTTGGTTTGAATTAGTGAACTACTTCGAATTTGTATACCGGACATACAAACAAACAAACATACAAACATTGATTTTTATATATATAGATATATACCGAACAAAATAAACAGAGACCCAATGCACAAACGCAACCAGATTTCTTTTCTTTTTTTTAAATTAAATTAGCATATAGATATTAGAGGCATGTTTATTTGTAAAAGAAGTTAGAATTAATGATGTAGAACTTATATAAAATTACATGCAAAATACTTTGATTGTCCTAGGTTAGGGGTCGGCAAACTTTTGAGTCGGAAGAGTCAAAAATTACAATTTATAGATTTTCAAAGTTTTTAAAGAGCCACAACACTTTTTCTTGCCAAAAATAAATAGAACTCGCATAAATAATATTTGCGTATGGAACTATAAAAAAAGCCGCAGCTTCACATCCAAAGAGCCGAAATTTGCCAACCCCAGTCCTAGGTCAATTCTCTCTTTCTCCCAGAGGTATTTTCTCGTACTAAGTTTTAAAATTTCAGCAAACCCCCCTTTTTCAATAAACAACCTATCTATTGATAATCCAACTCCTTCTATAAAATCGAATTGACATTATATATTTATATCTGAACAAACCTAACATTCAATGAGAGATAACTACAAAGAATGACAAGGAAATTTCTTATTTTTGGGATCCAGGTGAGTGAGGACGAGATGAAGACCAAGTTACTATTCTTCCTTAATTCTGCTAAAGATGGTCGACATGATGCTTGAAAATTGCGTCGGCCGATTAGTTGTAGTAAATATATTTAATGGTGTCAAACAAATTCTTTGAACATGTGTTTAAATATTTTACGTTTAAAACTAATATTTTATCTAATATTACGATTCTCTTACTGTCACATCTATTATGCGTCGTAAATGTGATGAGATTTTCTTTTTTAATATAACTTGAAATTTTTCTGAGATAGACTTGTGGCGACTACACTTTGACAAAGCTCCACTACACACAGGGGGCAGTGGACGGAATCGGCAACCGCGAGCGTCAACCTGACTACGCATGCGCGCGGGACGTCATCAGAGACTCTGGCCACTCAGCGGTACACATCTAGGCTAGCTCCAACGGCCGTTACTTCAACCGTTGTTTATTTTCTCTTTATATATTTCTGGTTTTAAATAAATTAATTTTAATTATAATTTTATCAGCAGCCTTTCCACAAGCCACACCAACACATCACGCAACAATCCTACAGACTTATTTTTTATTTTAAATTTAATATTCTTATCTTAATTGATTTGTTTCAAAATCGGAATTCTAACCTCTAAAAATTATATATGACCGTTTATACCATGTTTGTGAAGGCTGTCTAATATACGTATATAAATATCTATATATTTATTGATGATATTAATTCAACTCATAGGGATGCAATTTGAACAGAATATAGAGGCATTTCTGGAAGTTTTCAATGAGATAGTTTCGATCACACAATATCTTAAAATATACAAAATATACTTAATTTCATATTAAAGGCAAGAAAACCACGATAATGTTTATTAAATTTCCCAATTTTGTATAGTTCACTATTACAATAGAATCGCAGGATATCATTGTTGGAAGATACCAAAGGTAAACGAAACGAGTTTCTCTTCTCTTCCAACAATAATTTACTATATTACAATGCAATGCGGTTATGATAATAGAATGACGTTTAACAAGTTTTACCGTAAATGTTTCTTTTTTATAGAACAAAAAATTGTTATCTTCTATTGTTTAGTCTAGTATTCTTTTTTTTTTTCTAAAACATCAAATTAAATCGAATAATTAAACTTTTTAAAAGGCATATATTTGAATCAATAAGTTCATTTAAAGCACCACACATCCGTTTTATTCTTTAAATCTTTGATAATTATAATTATCACATGATAACATCATTATTGAGTAAACGTTTTTTTATTTTTTATTATAACACCATTTTGATAAATTTAATTCTATGAAAGGGTGATAATATGATAATTTCATTAAGACCAGTGCGTGTGTGTGATAATAATTTCAAAGGCAATATTAAAAAGATCAGTTTTTTTTTTTAAATTAGGTAGACCTATTAAAAATATTAACATTTCTCTTTCAAACGCTACATTTTCTAAAATAAAATTGAATAGCGTTTGAATTTGTGAAAATAAGGCACTGAATTTTAGAACATATGTAATGCTGATTTAAATATTAAAATAAGATCGTTCTAGAATTTTATTAGTTTTAAAGAAAATGGTATCTAATGCTCATGAATTGAAGGTTCCTGGAAAACAGGTTATTTCAAAGTGAATTATAATGAATTAGTATAACGGTAGATTTTTAATATTTAGAAAAAATTACATTTTTTCTCAATTTAAAAAATAAGGATAATATAGACATTTTTAAATTCCGCATGCGCGCTCTACAGAGCTTAATATAAATATGTAACCACCCTCTTCATTGGAAAGTATATATTTGAGAATTATATTAATAATCGTATATAACAAAATATTTGAATAAAAAGGCATATATTGGTTCAAAATATCATTTATTTTACCAATATTTCAGTTGACTGAACGCCAACCTTCATCAAGGTATTATAACATTTTTGTTAATGTTATAATACCTTTAAAAAGGTTGGCGTTTAGCCAACTGAAATATTGGTAAAATAAATGATATTTTGATCCAATATATGCCTTTTTATTTAAAGATTTATTAATGGATTGCACTATTTTCAAAACAATAGCAAAGTATGTAATCAATCTACTTAGAATTTAGAATTTTCATCAAATATTTGAACTGGATAACTTTGTTGTTAGATATAAACCCACGCTGTAATTCTAATTAAGAGACGAAAGCAATCATCGTGAAACGATGTGCTAACAGATCAAGATGAAAGTGGTGCGATGTCGTGAGGTGCGTGGACGTCAAACATCATCGAGATACAAGAGGTCGGCCATTGACCTACTTGGTGTAGATAATGGCCGGTCTCTTGTTGGCTTTGGAATAATGGCAGCAAGGAGCGTTTGATTACTTCCATGTAGTACACACATACAGGAAGTCAATTAACAGTTTTATTTATATAAAATATATAGATTGAAATTTTGCCGGGAAAGAAAATTAATATATACAAGTATCAGAGTCATCAATCAATTCTTAATTCTGTCACCGTTTGCTTTTGTGAATGGAATAAATACCCAAATATGGCCATTTCTCATAAGCATCGATGGTTCAGTGGTAAAATGCTCGCCTGGCATGCGGGCGGTCCGGGTCGATTCCCGGCCGATGCATTTTTTTTTTTTTACAATTTTTAAAACTCATTTATATATTATACAAGAATGACATCCACAGCGCCAATTTATAATTGTAACGAATAGTATTTGAATAAAAGCATTTAATCGGGTAAAACCCGGGCGTTGCCCAGGTCATTCGGCTATAAAAGCAAAGGTTGTCTCTAACCGACAAAATAGACTTCAAATAGATGACATTTAGTTTGACTAGAGAGGCTACTTTTGCTTTTATAATTAATAAACAGTAATAATATAAATATAATTATTGATAAATAGGTAGTGAAAAAATAGACATCTATTAAATAATTCGAAATCATGAATAGCATAGAATATATTGTTACGTAGAAAGAAAATCACATTCCAGAATGGAGAGAGAATATTCTATAACATTTAAGAATAATGTAGAAAAAGCGGAAAACAACTGATTGGTCAATCTAAAGCGATTGTGCAAGGTTCAGTTCTGGCGGCTTTCTGATTGGCTGACCAACCGTGACCGTTCTGGAAAGATCTACTCCGGGATATATAGAGATGTGTAACTCATGCCGGGGCTCCAGGGGCCCGGGTTATGCTTATTTTCTCTCTCATGCCGGGGAGGAAGAAAGAGAAGAAAGAAGTCGAAGAACGAAGCTACGTGGTGTATTCCGAGCAAGCTGCTGTCTCAAGAGGTCGGACTGCTGCTTACCGCCGACGCCGGTGTACTTCCTGGAAAATTCTAGAAAGTTCTACGAACTTCTGTCTCCTGTTCTGCTTCTTCTTTCCCTCACCGTGCTGGAGTTTGTGAGTTTGTGACTGCTGTTTTCTTTATTGTTGTTTTATTTTTGTACTCTTCTGTAATTACTTTATCGATTAGGCTTAAATAAAGTCCTAAGTTCTAAATCCTTTGTACCCACGGAAATTATTCTTTGTCAACCAACAACGCAACAATATTATCTTATAAAGAAAATCCGTTATTCCTCTAGTAAATTATAAATCTAGAAGTATTTTGTTAAATTCGCATATAAATATTCAAAGTTATTCCTCACATATTGTTATAACGCTTTTCAGCCATCTCGGTTTGCGTACAAGGCTTCTAAATAACAAGAGGGTTTTTATGTAGATACAGTATAGTGCTACGAACTTTACTACCAGTAGCAGCTAGTAGAATTGAGGATTAGATACACTTGCCTCCAATGTTCACCACCAGAAGGATCTTCCTCGCCAACAGCCGGCTCCCGTCCAGGTCGGGCAAGCTTCTCTGGTACCCTCTTCCAGGATCATACCTACGGCCACACTCGCGGAGACAACCTGTCGCATCTTCTGTCATTACCGATATTTCCACTGTTCATCCCCAAACTGGATTGCCGTCCTGACGCCTGTTCTCCTCCCACGTAGGCCATCCCTCCGCAGCTCGAGTCCATCCATCTTTCCCAAACTTCACCCTGCGATCTTAGCCCCTTGGTTAGGTTGTAATACAATAAGTAGGGAATTATCCATATTACACAATTGGCGGTAAGTGTATCTAATACTCAATTGTACTAGCACTTACTGGTAAAATAAAGTGCGTCGCGCTAAGCTGTGTCTACCTAGAACCCCACTTGTTATTTAGAAACTTTGTACCTAAAGAACGATAGCTGAAAAGCGTCGCAACAAAATGTTTAAGGACTTCATATATAAATAACAAAATGATATGATTGAAAATATCCATAAAAAATCGCTAATATTTGGGGGGAAGTTAATATGAATTATATAAATCTATTTAAGATATGAAAAAGGCATCTCCTTATCGTGTAACTGAAAGTTGCTGATGGCTTGCGTCATCTATCGGAATAAATATAAACTATTCTCGTTGACTTTTAATTATTCCAGAATTGGCCAAATATTCATTCTTGATTATTCAAGAAAAGCTAACCACGGACGCGTTTCGAGCTGTTGGCCCTCATCAGCGTGGTACAAGCTGTACCTCAACGACTAAATAAACTGGTCATTCAAGGCATCCTGAAAAATCATGAAACGGGTAGTTAAGGCCAGAATTGCGTGAGACCGCGACACAATGTGAAAAAATAGTACAAATGTGACATTGTACTGGGATAAGGTTCATAAATTATGAAAATGGCATCTCCTCATCGTGCAACTGAAACCACGCTGATGAGGGCCAACAGCCCGAAACGCGTCCGTGGTTAGCTTTTCTTGATTAATCAAGAATGAGTATTTGGCAAATTCTGGAATAATTAAAAATCAACGAGAATATTTGATATTTATTCCGATAGATGGCGCAAGCCATCAGCAACTTTTAGTTGCACGATAAGGAGATGCCTTTTTCATAATTTATGGACCTTATCCCAGTACAATATCACATTTGTACTAATTTTTCACTATTTAAGATAGTTCAGTTCTTTTGAAGTTCAACATATTAAACTAAAAAGCATACGGCATACATGTGTAGTGAAAAATGATCAAGAAAGAAACTAGTTAAGAAAAGGGCTTCCACAACAGAATATTGGGAAATAATTATCGAAAAAAAATCTATATATGTACGATATAATTAAACATATAAAAATTAAGCTGAAGAAGGTAGCTAAAACACCTGCCAACTATTAAGCTCGTGAAGCGAAAAATAGCTTAGTAGCCTAGATGCTTGTGAATTCGAAAAAATAGAAACCCAAATGAGTCAAAAATACACTTAGCGAAATAGACGTAATAAGAAAATCTAAATGATAGCGCTTTATGAGATGACCCAATATTTTCAAATTTTCTTTTCATATCATGCTATAAAGAGAAAAAAGTATTTAAAGGAGTATTGAAATAATATGTAAGGGTCATTTCTGACTTTTTTTGGACAATAGAGGAAATAAAATTTGCGTAATGATTCGCTTTGATCTAATAATGCACATATATTTTCTTCTTTTCGCCCCGTAATAAAATAATATTCACTGACGATCTAGTTTATATTGCAGAGAGTGTTCCATTTTTTAGAGATCGATTTTTGTGCTTTATTAAACCTAATTTACAAATCTTTGTTCAACCTATTCTATATACAGTTACGAGCGTCATTCCTCATCGGCCTCTGTCACGGTTTGCTTTTTTTTTTTGGAATGGCGCCCTCGTATTGGTCGGCTACGATCACGCCACCTTTGCCCCCCCCCCATTTCTGTAACTATTGTGTTGGAGCGGGTCGCTCCTTAAATAAATGCATATATTAGTTAATAACGAAATGGAATCCTCTCTTTCTTTTTTCCCAGTAGAGACGCCTACGGAAGCCAACAGTACATAGACAGATAAAGCACATAGACTATAGTTATTAACTAACATATGCATTTATTTAAGGCGCCAAATTATAATGGTTACAAATAGTATTTGAATCAAAACATTCAATCAGGTAAAACACGGGCGTTGCCAGGGTCATTCGGCTAGTTATTTTATATGTGTGAGCCTTGACGTTAAGCAACAGCTCTGCATCGATGTTTACAGGAAATAAGGCTTAGAATATTTTGATCATATCTATCTCAACAGTACTTAACTACTTTCCAGAGACATTTAGCGTTTTCGGTTTTCTAGATCTAAGAGCAGTTTTCAGCAAGACAAAAACACAAAAATATATAGGTGCCAAGTCTGGTGATTTGGCAGGGATGTGATCAAAAGGGGTGTACGAAATGCCGGTTTCTTCATTTTTTCGTACAACTATTGCCGTGTTGAACGTGAAGTATGACTCGTGGCTTCATCCTGGTGGGCGCACGGTTCTTGAGTCATTTGAATTCAAAATTGGGGTCTTACTATTGAAGAATGGGTCTTAGACAAGTGTTTGGTATATTTGCGAATTCATCTTGACATTGGGGTCCACTTTCTTCATATGAAGCTCCCATTGATTCAGAAACCTGAAACGATCATGAATACTTTTGAGAATTTTTTTGCATTGTTTGACCAGATCTAGAAGGTATTTTTTGAGAGTTTGCATAGTAAATGGCACGAGATTGGTTGCTATCATTGAGGTAAACCTATGCCTCGTCCAGTGTAAAAACATTATTGAATTTATTGCCTGCCAGGTATACATTTCATAAAAGGTCCTGTTGCAGGTCTTGGGTTTCTCGATATGGTGCAGCTTGAGAAAATGATCTTTAGATTTTTTACATATTTTAAACCGATTTTTTCTTAATAATATAGTTAATGGTAGAAAATATTGTGCGTTGGTTAATGTGTAAATATTCCTTTCAGAAGGTGGATTCTCTCTGACAACCATTTTCTTCACCTTTCTTTCGGTTGGATTTGAAGGTTACTTTAGTCACCTTTTTTTCAGTAGAATATTTTCACTTAATTTCATAAATATCTAAATTTTGTTTTATTATTTCAATGATTTTGCATTTACCAAAAGAAATTTTCGTTCATAATTTTAAAAATTTGGGGGAAACGTTTATTTCTCCTCGGAAAGTTTGAAAGCTTAACCGTTTACAAAATCACTTATAATTTTAGGCATTTCGAATATTTACAAATCGTATATTCATGAAATATAAATTAATTCCTGTTCTTTCAAATAAATAAAACATCACTCGAATCTCGAAAATATTTCACGAATACAGCGCGTTGCAATATCGTTCTTTTAAAAAGGAATACCCTCTGTGTATATTTACATATTCATATTCAAACTTGCTGGATGAGTTTGAAAATGATTAATCTTGAATGTACGAAAGCTAAATATATCACATTTATTTATTATCATTTACAAAGCACGCGATATCCGTCTTGGATATTTGCATGCATACACAAGTTTGGGAGCCTTTACAGTAATTATTAATATGATTTTAGTTATTATAATAGAAATTATTAACGTATTTGTCAGTTAGTTAACTATTTAATTACCCTAAATATATCACATTGAAGTAAGGCTTGTAGAAAATATATTATTTTAAAAGAAAATAAATGGCAAAATATTTTAAATTTAATTAGATAATATAATTGTCGATTTACAGGTCTTAGTAGGTGAATTTGGGAAAGCGTTTATATTAGATTCATAATATACACACATATGT